TGGCTGACCTTCCCCTCGCTGAGCCCTGGGGGCAGAAGGGGGGACGCAGGGGCTGGTGGAGCGGAGACTAACCCGCAGGAAGGCAGCTCGGGGACCTCCAGGCAGCGGGCTAGCCTGGGAAGGGGCTGGAGAAGTCTCCTCTCAGGTGTGCTCAGCTGGCTGTCCCTGTCCTGCTCCATGCTGCTTCTGGCTAAAGACCCGCCTACGCAGCGCTTAGTGTGTTGGTCTGTGAACGAGGCCTTTTGCAGCAGCCTCTGGATGCTGTTCTCCCTCCTCTGTGACGTCTCTGCTCTTTGAGTCAATAGTGTTTATTTTAAGGGTCTCTTGGCTGAAAAGCTTTCCCTTTGGTAGAGGAAACATGCAAAAGTTGGTCCCACCAGAAGGCTTCCTGATGTGAAGTAGAACAATGTTCCCAGGCTCCTTAGAAGGAGGCACTTGAGCCCCTGCCTGTGACTTTTGCAGAGATATTTTTGGGTGCCCTAGGAAGGAAGTGTGTTGTTCCAGGACCGCTGCACGCACCTCCTCCTCAGGCTAGCAGCGGTGAGCAGGAGGAGAGCAGTGTCTTCATGCAAACATCCTGCGCTATCCAGGCCTGCTGCTGAGAGGTGGGGTAGAAAGGGCAGATGGGAGCTGCTAGGCATCTGAGGGTGTAAGGGAGCTCTTGCATGGGGAAAAAGCTGGGGAGGAGCAAGCAGCAAAATCCCTCTTCCCAGCAGCAGGTAAAGCTAGTCCTGAGAGGTGAGCAGTGAGCGAGTGCTGCATGTGCTAGCTGGGGTGGGCGAGAGCTGGCAGTGCTGCAGGGAAGATTGGGATTCCTGTGAGGAGGAAGGGAGGGGCTGATCCAGACCCCAGGAGTTGGGGACCGTCCTCCTGTGCCCCTCTCAGTCCTCGGTCCTGCAGTTTTCCTCCAGGACTGCCCCATGGATCATTTCCAGTGTGCACCAACAGCCAGCTGCTACCCCCGCGAGTGGCTCTGTGATGGCCACCCTGACTGTGACAATAACATGGATGAGCAGAACTGCAGCACGACTACACTGGGGACCTCTGTGAGGCCAAGTAATGACAGTGGCTGGATAACTACCCCAAGAAGCCCCACGATGCTGAGTACTGACAGCACAGGTAAGGGTTAGCATGGCTGAGTTCCCTGTGGTGGGACACAAGTTCATGTGCCTAGCCCCTTCCCTAATTCCTAGGAGGAATGGGAACTGGAAACTTAACACAAGTGAGAGGGGCACAAGGACTCCTTGTCTGACAGGAGGTGGCTGAGGAGGAGTGACAGCAAAGCACAGTTGCTACAAGCCCAAACTCCAGGTTTATCTCAGCCAATACCATTCCTGTATATAGAGTCGGTTGCTGTTTAGCTGGCTCAGATGTGGCCCATTGAGCCTGGCAAACAAGCCAGGCAGGGCTGTATGCTGAATAACCCTACAGGTGGGGCTGCCCTATGATAGTAAAACAGAGCTGGAGGTTCGTTGCATGCTTGTCCGTATCCTGACTGGGTGAGTGGGTAAGGGCCATTGTTACCTTGGCTGCTGTCTCATGTGGAGACTCCGTTTCCCCTGTAACTACAGAGGGAAAATCAGAGGCCTTTGAGAATCAATTGCTGGTGTTTTCTTTGCTTTTTTTTTTTTGCCTGTGTGTTGGGGTTCTCCTAGTGTTTCTTGGTAGTAAAACCATTAAGGACTGGGGTGGGGAATTACCTTAAGTGAAGGTGAAGTTAAGAGAGCCTACAATGTTATTGGTTACATAATAAAGATAAGAACAGGGGATTATAAACAAGACTAAACCCTTCCATCTGTGACTTCTAGCCTCTCTGAGCCAGTTGCCTTCATCATAACTTACCTTGGGCTACATTTATTGCTTTGGGCAGAGGAAACACTGTAGAGTTAAAACTCACCTTAAACTTCCTTCTGTGGAGACAGTATTTAAACACTGTAGTGCTCCCTCAGGAGGTGCCTTTGAAGTACCTTCTAGAACATGCATTTCTGATTACTTCATAACAACAAGCCAGTGGCACTGGAGTCTCTCTTACCCATTATGCTCTAATCTCTGTCCACCCTTCTAAGCACCTCTGATCTCTAGGAGATGGACAAGCTGAAGGGAGAAGAGGATGGGGGAAACACTTCTAGGCCATCTGGGCAAGATCAGAGCAGGAGTATACCAATACCTGCCAAGCCTGAAGAGTGTATGTTGGCATCCCCAGAGCTGTCTGCATCTGAGTTGTCTTCCTCTGAGTAACTCTGGTGCTTTCATTGTCATAGACCTGTTGGCTGTCTGAGGTGCTTCCAAGTGTTGTTCCAGCTTGCCTTACACCTGGGTCTTCTGTGGTGTTTGGGGGTTGAAACACAATGGAAGTCAAGAGGCCTGTGCTTGTTGCGGACATGAGACCCTACCCTCAGGTTTGATGCCTGTGCCAGTTCAGCTGACGGGGGCGGGGGATAAGCTGTACTTAGGTTGTACCTGGGACTTCCCAGTGCCAGGCCCCAAGAGGAGAGATTATATTGTGATTATATCTATGCCTGTAAATCACAGGGCTGAAGAATGCTCCCAAGTGCTGGAGCTTGATGGCTTGTACTGCTGAATTGTTCATGTGGTCCCTAGTGTACTTACTGCCTCTGAAAATCAGCTAGCCCTCTTACCAAGCACCACTTGGACACAGTTCAGAAATTAGTGAGACAACCTGGAAATGTTATTTCTACTTCCCTTCAAGAGCAGACAAAACTGATTCTCTACTTGCTTTCCTGCTTGGTTGGTTTCTTTAGTCTTTGTCTCCTGTTACCCTAGCAGTCCTCACTAGCTGAGAGGGATGAGGAAAGTTTCCCTGCTTTTGCTATTATGCCTTTCCAGTAGGATTTCTTTCCCCTGCCCCGTTCATGTAGGCTAATCACAATAACAGTGAGGCTGTCAGGCTTTGCTAGCAGATAAGGTTTTGCTTAAACTGGGAAAGGTCTGTTGGAATTCTTGAGACGTGACCTTGAATACCCAGCTCAACTGGGGACTGCTTTGAATGCTGGTCTTAAGGTGACTTGGAAGCCTAATTGATTCCTTGTACTTTCATTGCAGAGGCTTCAGCTGCCCCTGTGCCTGGGGATTCTGCTGTGTCTAGGAATCAAGGCCGCATGTGGATGATGCTTATTGCGGGTAGGTGAGACCTAGAGTGCTACACACAGTCTTGGTCTTGTGTTAGACTGTAAATTGAGTATCATGATGGAGTCTGTTCCAGACTTCTGGCAGTAGCTGCTTTCTCTGGGCTGGAAGGATTAGGGGAAGCCCTACAACATGGCCTATTCATTCTTGAAGCTCTGATCTGGACACTTCATATCTTTCCCTTTGAAAGGCATCCTTTTGCATGTGATCTGACACCAACTTCCTTTCTTTGTCCCTTATCCTTGAGGGAAGCTGCTGGTCTCTAGCTGTCTGCTAATGCTGTAGAGCAGCAGAGTACTGATGTCCAGATCAGGTGCAATGAGTGATTCTCTGCTTGTGCACTCCTCTCCTCAGTGCTCTTGAGCATCCTGATGGCTGTTGGCTATGTTGCTGCATGGGGCCACTCCAAAGCAAAAAGTGGGTTTGACAACTTCAGTCTTGAAAAAACATCCAGGGAACAGTTGATGCCCAGCAAGAGCCAGTCAAACACATTTTCCTGAACGGTAAGTTTCTTGTACCCCCAAGTGCCTTGTATGTGGGAGGGAGAAATACCTTTCTTGTTCTCTATTTCAAGCTTCTAGAGCTTTCCCCTCTGGGTGCAGATTTTCCCAGTTGTTCCCTTGGCTGTGTTGCTGGCATGCTTGGGATTCCAGTGTGCAGTGGAGCAGCAGAACTCTCCCCTTCCCTTCCTCTCGCATGATCAGACATAAAGGCTCTTGTCTGGCTGCAGGGATAGCTGTACGGTCTAATCTAATGAGAAGATGCTGGCCTCTTTCAATAGTGATGTGCCTGTCTCTGGGCTTTCCTCTGCTACCAAGGAAGCTGAGCCCTCGCATACTAAGATATTAATCTTCTGGTGTGGATTGCTTTCCTTCACTTTGCACAAATTGAAGTCAAGCTAAGCTTTTGGCAAAAAGACCAGGTGTTTGTCTCTTGTTATCACAGGGAACTTGGTCTGTGATGTGGTAAAATGGAACTGCTCTGGTCTCCCTCCTGCTCCCCACAATACGGACTGAACTGGACATAAGCTCTCAAACCTGGATTGTAGTTGCACTGGACTAATTGGAGGATGCTCCCTGTAATAAATGGATCTGAGATTGTGGGACCACTTTGGTGCTGGAAATCTGACAGGACCTTCCCTGGTGCTCTGAAATAGTGTGTCAAAGTTCTGACAGTTCTTGCCTACAGGTATTAATGCTGCATTTCACCAGTGTTGCCCTGGACCCAGTGATTTTATTCTCTATGGAAATACAGATGCAATGCCAGGTGCTGTTCAATGACTTTCCTCTGTCTCCAGCTAAGATACTTCTGCCACCTTCCCCATTCTTGTCCCTGGATTATGCCAGGGAATACAGGCTTTCTTACCTGTTTTAGTAGGAGCTTACTGAATCTGCACAGATAAGACATGTATACATGCTTGTTTTGATGCTGCTCAACCTAATGTACTGGAAGCTTTTCCTGACAGTCAGGCCAACCACAGAGATAAAAGGTGAAATCCTTCCTGTCTGCTTGGGCTTTGTAGGGAGTTACATGCTGTGCTGGAGCCCTGGGGCAGGCAGCTTCTGAATACACTGCCTTCCAGGAAAGATCTCAGCCGGTTGCATAACTGTGCTTTCTACTACAATGCTGAGCTCTGAATGTTGCTTCTGTAACACTGTTAGAGATGTGTATCTTAAACCTGTCTTGCTCTGAATTTTGAGATGTGTTTGGAGTTCTTTGCTTTCGACTTGAAATAACTTGGGTCTTGAATCAAATGTTGTCTTTGCTGATTATGATAGGTGCAGCTGTTCTTGAATGGTGCAGTGCTATGCACGCTGCAGAAGAACTGACAGCAGAAGGAAGAGAGTCCTGACTGATGCTTTAAAGCAGTATTGAGCTCTGCTCCATGTATTCCTTTCACAAGCATTCACTAAATCACAATCATCACAAGAGATGAAAAGGTACTGCTTTGGCTGCTGAACTCAGTGCCTTAAGAGTGAGAACCAAGCTTGCAGGGCAAATGCTGGTCATCAGCCTTAGAGCAGAACTCTTCTGCTTTTAGGTAGTAAGTGTGCAGCTGTAACCTATGAGAGCAATTTCTATAAGAGGTATGGAGTCCTGGGCTATTCTAGTGCTTGTATTTTTAGTACCAAGAGGTTATTTGCAAGGGTACACACAGCCTTGCTCCTGCTTTTATAGGAACATGTGGAGACTACAGTAGGTGAATGATAAAGGAGAATAAAGAACATGAAATAGTGACTTCTGGATTTTTGTTGTTCTTGAGTTTGTGATCTGTTTGATTCTGTGCTTAGCAGCCCAGAGGCTGCATCTGCTCTAGGTTGCCACATCCTAGGAAAGAAGGTTCATGTGGAAGGTGGACTGGAGTGGACAGATGAAGAAAGCAGGTGCTGCCATGCACACTTAGGACTGAAGTGACTTCACACACATAGGAAAATGCAAAATAAGGGGAGCAGAGTAGGGGTGAGAGGAATATAATCAACACTTGCAGCAGGGGTGCTACTGCAGAACAGATGACAAGTGAAAAGCTTAATTTAGAATAAAGGGAAAAACTTAAGACTATGCGAGTTCTACCTTGCGTCTCTTACACCCTCATTAGAGCAGAGGGAAAGAGTGAGGTACACAGCAGAGCAGAAAGGCACTTCTAACAGCCCTGATTTTTGCCCTATCCAGCTGGGATTTCTAGAAGTGCTGTAACTGACTGAATAGCTCTTGCACAGTACACTGCATGTCTTGTGCTGTCAGGGTTGTGTGGCAGAGGTCAGCTGTCACAAGCCTGTCCCGGATCATCCTCTTAGCTTGAGCTGTGTTGAGCTTGGGACTTACTGTTCTATTATACTCTGCAGAGGCCCTTCCTCTGTGCAATGGGGAGCAAGGTTGGGGCACAGAATCAGGAGCAGCAGCTTCCCATTGCAAAGTCATGTGTCTACAGCTTACTGATCCCTGAGCTGACTGCTTCATGTTCAAAGTAAAACCTGTCTTTGTGAGGCCAAAGTCATGTGTCAAAGCTTGCAGCCGTGTTCATGACAGTAACTTTCCTTCCTCTGTCCAGCCTGCATGGCCCTGCCAGAAGCATTTTTGTTCTAAATCCTCAGGCTCCAAGACTTCAATTAGAGTGGGGGTTGAGCTGCTTTTCAGCCTGGTAACAATTTTGTGCTCTGGTTCTCTATATCTAGTTAAATCATTTCATATAAGTAAATGATATTCCACATGGTCACATAGGACTCTTCTAGGGTAAGACATCAAAAAAGGACCCATTTCTGCTAACTTCGACTCCCCTTCTGCTTTAAAATCCAAAGACTTATTTTTCCCTTTTGAGTTCCTATGGATTAGGGCAACATCTGTTGCATACTTGCTTTCCAGGGTCTCATTCAATATTCAACATTCTGCAGTGTGGGAGTAATGGGGCTGAAGAAAAGTGTGATGATATGCAGATGGCTTGCGGCTGCAGTGCAGGAGCACCCTGTCGTGCTGTAGATCCCACTCAGGCACTGTCTGGAGGGGTGAGGAGGGTGCCTTCATATCTGCCCCTGTAAATCTGAACCTTGGGGTTTCAAAGGATGAGCTGGGAGCTAACAAGCGGTTCCCTTTTCTGAGCTATGACAGCTGAATGGAGCAATGGCAGCTGCATTAACACTTGTGCTTAATGAATGATGCCAAAAGCAGCATCTGCTGGGGGAAGTACTGTGGAGGTTAAAGCTGATACAAGTCCTGCATGTCTGCACCTTTTGGCAATAGAAGCCTTCAAGGGTTAAACGTAGGCAAGTTCATGCTGTCTCTTCAGCTCGCTATAGTAGATGCCCTGCTTGGAAGTATAGTAGTATGTGACAAATGCAAACAGCTATGAGGAAAAAGAAAAATGCAAAGCTGGAAATAGTCCCTTATATAAAGGGTTAGTGCTTCAATCTCATTATTGTCTTAAGGAGCGGACACTTAGCTGCTTCCACTTCCTACAACGCAAACCTCCATCTGATAAGCAATCGGCTTTGGGACCCGGGCAGGTGCCATGTGGCGCTGTGACACAGGCAGGGCACCGTGACGTAGGCTGTGCCCCTTGGCAGTAACTCTCCACTACACCTCTGAGCTGAACGCACTTGCCCTAGTCCACGCATGGCTGGTGGAAATGTTCCTGTGAAGCCAAAATTACTGTCCCATAGCCTGTAAGAAGAGTCACTGCTTTGAAGGGTCAGGCACAATGAGGCAGCTGGGGAAGAGGCGTGCAAGTCTCTCTGCCAATCTGAAGATCGGGGATCGCCGGGGCTGCTGCCGGACAGCAGAGGAAGAGGAGGTCTACATCCCGTTTGCACAGGACAGCCTGATAAAGCAATGGAGCTCCATGCAGAACATGACAGACAGAAACCAGGAGAAAAGCAGAATTCCTATCCAAAGGAACAGGTACTTCCTCAACATTAATGTGGGAGGTAAATCATTCCAGATAGCTTACAAGGCAGCTGCCCGGTATCCCATCACCAGGATTGGGAAGCTAGCCATTTATACAGACCCTATGAAGAAGATGCAGCTCTGTGATGACTACTCAGTGCAGAGGAATGAGTACTTCTTTGACAGAGATCCTTCAATTTTCCACTACGTCTTCCACTTCTACCGCAGCGGTGTCCTGTGGATAATGGAGGAGATGTGCCCCAGTCACTTTGTGGAGGAAATTGAGTACTGGGGAATCCATCTGAAATATTCCCAGCGCTGCTGCCGGATCCTGTTTGAGGAAAAGCAAGATGAACTCAGTGAGTACCTGAAAATACAGAAGGAGCTGGAGGCAGAACTGGAGCCCCTGGACTCAGCAGAGCACTTTGAAGGCAAATGTCTGGGGACGTTTCGGAAGATGATTTGGAACCTCATTGAGAACCCTTACTCTTCTGTCCCAGCCAAGATCATCGCTGTCATGTCAAGCTTCTTTGTGCTTATCTCCATCGTGGGCATGACTTTGAGCACGGTGGAGGAGATGAAGCACAAGACAGGGAAGAAGTGGATGGAGCAGCTGGAGATGACCTGTGCCATCTTCTTCACTTCCGAGTATCTCATGCGGCTTATATCTTCCTCCAGCTTCCAGAAGTTTTTGCGGGCAGCATTTAATGCTGTAGACCTAGTGGCCATCCTGCCTTTCTATATCCAAATTCTCTTTGAAAATCTGGACGAAGCGGACACCCTTTACCATGAGGAACTGCACAAGATGGAGAATGTGAGCAAGCTGGGAAAAGTTCTCAAGCTCATCAAGCTCATGAGGATCTTCCGCATCCTCAAGCTGGCACGCCACTCTACTGGCCTCCGGGCCTTTGGCTTCACCATGCGCCAGTGTTACCAGCAGGTTTGCTGCCTCCTCCTCTTCATCGCCATGGGGGTCTTCACCTTCTCCGCTCTCATGCACTCTGTGGAACATGACGTCCCAGGCACCAACTTCACCAGCATCCCTTACGCATGGTGGTGGGCAGCGGTAAGGTGTGGGTACCTCTTCCAGAGAGGTGTGTGGTGTGGCTCCACAGGCAGGGGCTACCTCAGTACTGGAGGGATTCACCACAGTTGCTGGCTAGGAGTTAGAAATGGGCCCAGTTTTCCCACTGGCTCCGGTTTGATGGGAAGTCCAGAGCCCTGTATGTTCTAAGGGAGGAAATCGGAGATCGGAACAAAGCTCAGAGGCTCAAAACCAGGCACTGGGGCGGGATGCTGGGTCAGAAGTGGCCTGGACATTGTGCCAAGGAGAACATGACTCAATGCGGGCCTTATATTGTGGCAGCTAGGACCCAAGTATGTGGGTGGACATGGCCTGGTTCAGATCCCCTGAGACAGAACACAGAGCAGAGCACATTGCACTCAGGGACAGGAACTTTTGGGTTGCCAGAGCCCCGGGATGGCCCTTGTTCACTGACTGCCTGCTTGTGCCACCAGGAGCCAGCAGCTCTGCTGAGCCAAGCACTGTGATAAACCTGGGATTAACTCTAAGCTGACAAACAGCTAAAGCACTTGAGACCCAGGGGTTACAAGGGGTTTTTGGTTTGCAGACAAAATGATCTCACTAGTCACTTCTGCTGTTATAATGCCCCTCCACTACCACAGCCTGCCTGCCTGCCTGCCTCTAATTATTTCCTCCCCAAGGAAGTGGCTCTTAGCAAAATCAGCTGATCCAGGTGTTTAAATGACCAGGGATGAGAATCCCTGAATGGGCTGATCCTATCTCCTGTCAGTGTATCTCCGTGCTGGGACCAAACTGCTTTGTCTTATCTCTTGTCATGGCCCATGGTCTTGCTCCCCTCTCATCCGAATGCTGTTCCCTGCGGTGAGTTCCTGGGCAGTTCCTCTGTTTCCCTTGAAGGGAGGGTCTGGGAAGCTTTGTTCCTGCAGGACCAGGAGGCTACAGCCAGGAAGCACCAAGGCCTGTGCTCTGTGGCAGGCAGGAAGCTCCAACAGGCAGTTCAACTGCTGGAGGAAGTTCGGCTCAATGATGTCCAGCTGCTTTTGAAGACATGCACGCAAAAAGGAGGAGGGAGGCAGGGAAGCTTGCCTCTGGTTGTCTCTGCTGCCAGGGGCCTGATCTGGCCATTTCCTAAGGTTTGTTGGCCTTGTCGGGTGCCGACCATGGAGCTGAGCTCCAGCAAGCTGCTCTCCAGCAAATGGCGTTGACAGAGGGGCAGGTTTCCCAGAGTGTTTCCCCATACCCTGCTGTTAGCCTAGCTGGGGCATCCCATACTCTTGTGTCAGGTGAAGTGTCCCCACAGCTGCATAGCTCCCTCCTGACTGGTTCAGGGCTATGTTTGTCCCAAGGCAGAAGGAAAAAGCATGTTTCCAAGCCAGGCGTCAGCCTGCAGAAACTCAGGGCTGTTTCTGCGCGCTGGCCCGCAGCTAAGGAGCTGTTGAGGTCCCAAGCCTGTTTCCTTGCTGTAGCAAGTTGTGGGGGGAGTGCAGGGCTGGGTTTGTTACAGCCTCCTGTAGCTGTAACCATTCAGTTGAGTGAGGTGACATGCTGATGTCCCCCTCTGCCAGCCTGTTTGCCTTGCAAGAGGTATGATATGGATTTAACTTTGGGGTGAAGATGGCCATAGCCCCGCTCATACGCAGCACCTACATCCTGCACTGGCAGCAAAAGCAAGAATCATTCCCTTGGCACTAGTTTTGGTGGGGCTACAAGCCCTTTTCTAAAGAGCTTTGACCTAAACCTTCTTCCTACTTGCCTGCCCCTCCCCAGCCACCATAGTGCTGCATAGGGGCAGCCCCAGAGCCTGAGAGGTTTGCTCAGAAAAAGGAGACTGTGAAGCAGGCCTTGGGCTCCTGGGGCAAGGGAAGGACAGACAGACCAAGTCCTGGCCAGCAGGGAGATGGACACGTAGGACCTGCATGCTGGGAAGAGGAGACCCTCATGGGTCTGGAGAAAGTCTGAGACTCCTGCAGGCTCAGGGAGGGTCTGCGTGCCAGCAGGAACGCGAGGCTGGGGCTGGTCAAGGGAAGGATCAGGGAGGGCCCACGGTGACTGTGACCGCCTGCCTGCAAAGCTCCCAGCCCCAGTGAACGCACACCTCAACTCCAGTGCACGCCTTCAGCAGCCTGGGCCAAAGCATCCCCAGGTGTGGAGAGAGGGTCCCTCTGTGGCCAAAGAGAGGCAAGAGGTGCAGGGCCAGGGAGAACCCAGGTTGCTATGGTGCTGGGGGTGCATCAGGCAGTGACAGAGCTGATGTGTGGCTGACCTTGGGGGTTGTGGCCACAGGTGATGAGTGAGGGCCATGCAGCTGCTAGAGTAGGGACAGATGAGCCAGCTGCAGCTATGGCTGCAGAGCAGTCCCTGTGTGATACCCAGCTCCTGCGTGCAAGAAGAGGGAGGTGGGTCCCAGCATCAGTAGGGCTGTTGGATGCGGGGGGGCTGTTGAGAGGGAAAACTGCGGTACCCCTCAGTAGGTGGGCAGCCAGGAGAGGTCTGCTGGATTTGAACACGCAGCATTTTATCCTTTCCTTTCCCAGGTCAGCCTCTCCACTGTGGGCTATGGAGATACTGTGCCTGACACGGTGCTCGGCAGGATTGTGGCTTTTGGCTGCATCTCCTTTGGCATCATCCTGAATGGCATGCCCATTTCCATCCTCTACAACAAGTTCTCCGATTACTATGCCAAGCTGAAGGCCCATGAGAACGAGACCAGCCTCTCGCTCAAGCTCTCCAGGAGGATCCGCTTCAAGGAGCGAGCCCTGCGGAAGCTGTCGGAGTGCTGCAGAGCCGACCCCCGCTGCCACCACTGACCCTTTGCCCCCAGACAACCCCTCCACCCCAGCTTGTCTCCCACCATGACATATCCTGCCCTGTGCCCTGGCCATCCCTCCCTGCAGCTGCTCTTTTAGGTCCTGTCCCCTGGGAAGGCTTCGCGACATGGGGAGTGACCGTGACCAGCAAGTCATGGCAGCATCTGCGGGGAGGTGCCATTGCAGAGGTACCCGTGCCTGCTCACACTCTTTGGAGGGATGAAGCATGGCCATGACTGTCTTTGTCCTGTGACCTTCTTCAATATTGTAGGCTGGATGCTGCTGTCCTGGGGAGCAATGAATAAAGGAGCAGCTAAAGGGAGTGCTGTACGGACATGGCAGGATATCTGTCCATCATGGTCAAGGGGCAGACCAGCTAGGGGATGGGACACCCCAAGGACTCAGGATGCGAGCAGGTGCAATGCATCGAGCTAGACTTTCACTGTGTGGAGGATGGTGGAAGTCTATACATGTGATGAGATAAAACCTGGTAGGATATCTGCCCAGGCTCTGCTCTGCTCCTGGTTTGAGCAGGACACACAAGGACTCTCCCTGCTCCAGCCTGCCAGACAGCAGCCTGAGATCAGTGGTCATCTACTAGCCAAGCAGATAGTTCAGCCCAGGCTGAGCCCAGCGTGGAGACCTGAGTGAAGACTCAGCAGTCTAGGAGGAGCCTGGCTGTGGTGTTCATGGGGCTGAGGTGGCTCTTGTCTGGGACATGCTCCCCTCTGCAGAATCCAGGATTTCCTTCAGTGTCACTAGGTGTCCTGCCAAGGGGGAGCTCTGATCCCCTGTAAGGGCTCAGCTCTGAGTGCAGAGGAGGGACATGACTGACTTCATGGGAAGAAGGGGGAAGGCTCCAAACCTTCCTCTGGAGCTGCTGCCTGCCTCCCAGAGCAAGCTGTGGTAGGATCAGAGGGGTTATCAGTGGTCAGGAGACCAAACCTGCCTTGCTGCAGAGCTGCCTGAAGCTGCTGGGGCAGCTGCGAGGCCTCTCTGCTGGGAGAGACACCCTTGGGACATGGGCATTCTGCAGCTCACCTCAGTCAAATGTCACCCATGCGCTCGCTGAGGGATGCAGCTGTGGGACTGTATCTTCAGGCCTAGCTGTGCACAGAGTATAAAAAGATCACAGTTGTCCAGCCAAACCTGCTTTCCTTCCAGCTGCCCTCAGCCTGCGAAGCTCAGGGCCTGGGAGCACACTCCTCGTGTGGTGCCAGGGTGGGCTGCTGCTGGAGCCACTGTGGTGGTGGAAGTGACGGGCACTGGTTGTGCTGAGGGTGTTGGCTCAGCCCCTGGTTGGCTGTGCTGGGACCGGGTTGCCTGAGTATTAACTAAACCAGGCCAAAACAGTCATTAACTAAACCAGGCCAAAACAGTTCATCATCTTGGGTTATTGGGTAGCCACTTCGTATAAAACTACTTGTAATTGGGGATGAACAGCAAGTTAAATTTCATGCACCAAAATATAGCCGCTTTTCAGCACGTCCTGCATGCCAGTATGTCTGAGGAGGTGGTTTGCTGTTTCCCTGAAGTATGTCGCAAATATACAGCTGTACAGTAACAGCTTTGTGCTGCTTAGCGAGCACGGGCTGCAGCAGTGGGAATTAGCCCTGTCCTAGCCAGGGCAGCCGGCTGGGGGAGGTCTCTAGGAGAGGACATCTGCCCTGAGCTTGTGACCACTGCTCCTGTCCATCAGTGGGGAGGAACAAGCCTGCAAAGGATGTGAGCAAGGCAGTGTGCATGTGAGCCTCAGGATGAAGCGACTGGCCCTGGGCGTGTTGGAAGCGGAGCCAAGGATGTCTGTGTGTGCTCAGGACACACAGGTTGGCTCTGTCCTGTGCTCACATCCCAGTGGTGGAAGGGGACATGTCCATGGGTTGCAGGGGAAGCATTTGCCCTCGGTTGCATGAATATTCCCAGCCAACGAGCTCCCTGGGGAATGTACCCTTCTGCTGAATGGGACGGGAAGAGGGGCCCAGGCAGGTCCTGACCCTGCAAGGCAGGCAGCAACAGGGGAAGGCCGACAGCCGTGGGCACCACTTCTAGGTGAGCAGCAGGCAAGGAAATCATTGCTCACCAGGCTGGGGTGCAATTTCCTCACCTGCAAGCTGAGCTCAGAGAGGAAGAGCTGCTGTGGGGGAGGCAGGGGCACCAGTGTCAGTCTGCGGCCCTGGTTAAGCGGCTGCTATTTTGAAACTGTTGGAAAGAGGCTTGGAGTGGATCAGCCGTCTGGCACATGCTCCTACTGAGTCCTGGACCACTGAGGGATACCATGCAGGGGACAGCAGGGCTGTGCCAGCGGGCCTGAGGCCAGGACCCCAGCACCTACACTGACCCCCCAACACCTACACCAGCTCCCCAGTCCCCACATCAACTCCCCCTATACATACACCTCCCCTGACACCCCAGTGCAAGTCATCTCCATTTTTCTCCCCATTTCTCTTTCACGAGGAACCTTCTCTCTGGGCAGAGGGCAGCCTCCTCTATCTGTCTTCCCTTGGAGCTGTCCTTCCCTGTCACCCGTCCGCACTCAGCAGGATTGCTTCTGGGCGCTCACACCCCAGACCTCGATCGCCTCTGGGCGCTCATGCCCCAGACCTCATACCTGCCAGCCCCATCAGGCAGCAGTCACAAAAGAAACCCCCGTGAGATCTGCAGGTTTAATTCTCTGAATTCTTTTTACAAGTCACAAAAATGCAGCAATGTACAGACATTTACAGGACACTGTACAGGCGGTTTCTGTCATATATTAGTGCTCTTGCTATATACATATAGTACAGCCTGCAGGATGCCTTCAGGTGGGCAAGGAAACCTGCATGCCCTTCACAGGGCTCCCCGAAATGGAGCCCTCCCCCCGGCTCCAGGCTCCCAAATCACACATGCTCATTGAGGTCAATGTAATCAGACCTCAGCCCAGAGCCTTCCTAGGTGCTACTGGGCGGGGCGAAGCCACCCCAGCCATGATGGGGAGAGCCAGGCACAGCCTCGCTTTGCTCCCCCTGATCTCGTTGGCACCGCTGAGGGTTTTTGCAGGATGGAGACTCTTGCAGAGCAGTTGTGCATTGGGAGGAATCGCTGTGCAGCCTCCCAGGGGTCTCGGAGGGATGTGGGCGGTGGGACCAGCCCCTGACGGGAGCAGCGCCTTCTCGCCCCTCTGGCTTCAGTGGCAGCCACAGCTCCCAGCCACCATGTCATCATACTGCTTGAGGACCACGTTCTCGTCATCGTCAAAGTAGAGGAGGTTGATGGAGTAGAGTTTGTCAGGCACACAGCAGGGGCTGCTCACGCCCTCGCTCAGCTTGAGGGCGTTGATGATGGACTGCACGGTGGCATGGTTCGTGGGCCGCATGTTCTCACCCAGCGGGAAGGGGCAGGCGCCTTTGCAGTGGTAGGCATTGTACCCCCGCGGTGAGATGATCCACCCAGACCAGCCAATTTCCTCAAAGTCCACAGACAAGGGATGCCTCTGGCAGGGCTGGAGCCGGTCCAGCGAGCGAGTGCTCCGTGGCCCGTTCAGTTTTGGCACCGTCATCTTAGCAGGGAGAATGGGAGCCTGAGGCTGTAAATCTACCAGAAATGAGAAAATGATGCCATTAGAGATTGCACAAGTCTGAAAAGAGGGATAGAGTGAAGCGGCAGCCTTGGCCACCCCTCTGCGCAGGTTTTTGTCTGTCTGCAGCTGCCTGGCACACTGAGCCCTTCCATCACAGCCAGACCAGGGCAGGCAGAGCCACCAAGAGGTGACAGCCTCACACCCCCAGAATGGACCTGATGATACACTGCACACAAAATCCAGATTTATGCCTGTGAGCCTGCGCTCATGTTAAGACTAAGCCAGCTAAAGAAATTGCTCCTGCTGGCTGGAGAATGAGCCTTGAATTTTCCTGAGTACGAGCTACAAGTTTCACAAATTCCCTCTTCCCATTTCTCAGGAGAACCTAAAACCAACAAGTTTTAATAATTGCACCATATAGGGAGCAAGTGCTATCATTTACAGCTCCTGTATTGCTTTCCAAAGGCTATTACAGAGCAGAGTGCCAGGGAAATCTGCTCTGGGAAGGAGCATTCCCTCCTCGACACACATGATAAAGGAGGGAAAAAGTTTTCTTCTGACTTCCTGGACTCTCCTGGGATTGCCAGCTATATAGTCAGAGCTGCCAGCACAGAGACCATCACCCTGTCTCCCTCTGGCCTGAGCAACACCCGTAATAACTAAAAACACCAGTGCAGCAGGGACCAAGCAGCTGCCAGAGCAGAGGTGACGGCGGCTCTGCCCTGTGCCGCTCTCCGCGGGAGCGCACCACAGCGAGGCCGGCAGGGAGCAGCCGGAGCACCCTGCAAGCCGGGGAACCGCGGCACCCTCCAAGCCACGGGGCACACCTGAGAAGCACGCTGT